TCACTCCCTTCCTGCCCCTGCCCCCCCCATGCTCCTGCTCCACCTCCAACTCCAGCTCCAGCACCACATGGCTGCTGGCTGCATCATGGGACCAGGGAGCACAGGGACATCCCAGTACAGTGGGGCAGGGGGGCGGGGGGCGCACATGCGCACACATAGGCTAAGTCCTACACACACACCCCATCATACACATGCTCCCCAACCCCCCTTGCACTGCCATACACACAGACCCCCCATATTCCCTCACACACCCCAGGCACCATCCCCCCCACAAATCCCATACCCACCCACACCCCATATATCCACACAGACCCCCACATGCTCTCTCACCCCCACATACCCACACACCCGCAATCACCCACAAACCTATACCCACCCCCCCCCACAATATCAAGAGTAAGACTTCATTTTAAGCTATTGTGCAATCACCTCTATGTACACTACACAAACACATGTAAATCAGGACAAAAATATTTTTTAAACCAAATTAATGCAGTAGATGTTTGCTTTTTAGAATATAATTTGGTATTTTTCTGGTTAGCAAAACCCCTTGTTGAAAGCAGTACTTCCAGGGGCAAGGAGAGGGACTTTGAGTGGCAAAGGTCAGGGGTTAGGGGGAAGGGACTTCCGGTCACAAGATGACAACGGGGGTGGGGCATCTGTCAAAGGGCGGGGCTACCAATGCGGCCCTCAACAGCTTGCCAAAATTTGGTAAACAGCCTTGCCTTCAAAATAATTGCCCGCCCCTGCTCTAAAGGCTAAGAAATATAGGTACTCAAGAAGACCATGGCAGAAGAACTCTAATTTTCAAGCTTTACTCTAAGTGCCCAAGGTTAGGTTGGGAGGAAGCAGAACACAAATAAGTCCCTGTGGGGCAGGGGAGCTCAGAGCCTGCCTGCATGGCCCGTGCACAGTAGGTAGGGGGTCTCTTGTATGCTTCCCAGCATGGCCCATGGGCCCTCCGGGCTGCTGAAGACTCCTGAGCGGAGTTGAATGACCGAGCCAGCTGACTGGCACTAGCCACCCAATTGGAGACATTACAGCCGCCCATCTGGACACCACCCCCCCTCCACATACACACACACACAAAACCCAGGCCTCCTGCCCAGGCACTGTTTCCCTTCCTTTCTCCTTCCCCAACCTTCCAGGGGAGCACACCAGGGTGTGGGGGAATGTAACATGAGGAAGAGTTGTACCTCATTTTAATCAAATATTGAAGCTGCCAAACTGTTAGTTTGTGTAATAAACAAAAAATGTGCAACACTACCTAGTCCAGAACTTGGAATCTTCTCCTCAGTTAATATTAAGAAAGTGGGGAAAGACCTAGTGAGTTTGCTCTGAAAGGCAGGCAGAGTAAATTCCAACCCTAGCATTGGGTCTTGGGTTACCTGGTCCCCCTCTCCTTCTGCACTGCTGCTTCCCAGAGTGGGTCCTGCCAGATGTCTTCCTGGCTCCTCAGACCACAGGTCAACAGCTCCCACATGCCATATCTCCTGTTCCAGCCCCCCCCCCCTCCTTCCCCCCCTC